GAAATAGGGATAGAGTGTGCACTTTACATGTTTTATTATTAAGTATAATGCTGTTTACTCTGTGCTTTTGGTAAATTTATTTTATTAGGTTGAAGAAGTTTCTTTCTCTACCTAGATTAAGTATTTTTTGTTGTTTTGTGAAGGGATATTGATTTATATCATTGGTTTTTCTGTATCTGATCAAATCAATCAAATGGCTTCTCTTATTCGTTCCACCATTATGAATTATATTGAAAGATCTTTTTACTGTAAAATTAAGCTTGTATTCCCGAGATAGACCCATTAAAAAATATATACGTGTATGCATGTGCATGTATGTGTAACTGGCTTTCTAAATTTTTGTTTAATATTTTTGTTTTTGTAACCTTAAGTGAGACTGAGCTTTCATCTGCTGCTTTGTTTGGTTTTGATAATAAGGTTCTCTTAACCTCATAGAAGGAGCTGTTTGTCCCCTTTGTTTCTCTCTCTGGAATAATTTGTGTATTATTTACACATAATAATTGCATATTAGGATTATCTCTTTTTTTTTTTTGATAGAAATCACCTATAAAATCATCTGGGTCTGGCTGTTTATTTGAGTGGTAGCTTCATTAATTGTCATAAGTCTACTCATAGTTGAATCAGTTTTGGCAAATTTTATTTTTCCAGGAAGCTGCCATTTATTCATTTCCTAATTCATTGGCTTGAAATTGTTCATAATATTCCTTTATTTTTAAAATTGCTGCTGTATCTGCTATGTTCCATTTTTTCATTATTTCAATATTATTTGTCTTTTTCTTTTTTTTCTTAATATAATTTGCCAAAGGATTTAAATTTTACTTGTTAATTTCACAGATTTAGAGTTTGGTGTGTGGATCCTCTTTTTTTCCTTCTCTTTATTGATTCCTGCATTTCCCCCTTCAAATTTCCCTAGGTTTACCCTGTTGCTCCATTAGTAACTTTTTAAAAAAAGATTTCATTTATTTATCTGAGAGAGATAGAGAAAATGTGAGTGTGGAGAGGCGCAGAGGAAGGACAAGCAGACTCTGCCCTGAGTGCAGAGCCTGAGGTGGGGCTCAATCCCACAACCCTGAGTTCATGAGTCGAGCTGGAATCAAGAGTTGGATGCCTAACCAACTGCGCTACCCAGCTAACTACTTCATTAGATGTTGAGATACTCATTTTCTAATCTTCTCTAATATAAACATTTAAGTTTACATACTTTTCCTTTAGGTACTGTGAAAACTCTATGCCACAAATTTTGATATATGTTGCCATAATCATTCAGTTTTAAATATTTTCCACTTTCCCTTAGTGCCTATCAACTTTCCTTTGCCCCTCCAAACCTACTCTCTTCCTTCCTTCTCTACCCTGTTCTCCGGCCCACAGGCTGCCTATATGGACATCAGTGGGCTGCTGTGCCCTCTGTCCCCAGTGGGGATTCCTGGCAGGAGATAAAATAAGAGGAGAGCAAGGTCAGAATATTTCTTTCCCTGGTCTCTTCTTTGAGATTGCCTCAGCTTGATTACATCCCTTGAGAGGTCATGCTTGGGAAAAGGTGGCCTGCTCTACAAATATGATTCGCTGTCCTTTCGGATTCTGGTAAGACCTCTCTTATCCCTCTGGACCTACAGGTTGTGACTATTCTGCTGTTGCAGGTCCCAGATCCTCCATTGACCCTTGATTCCCACATATCCCACCTACCCTATACCTTTAAAATGTGTTCTTTTATAAATCATTTGAATGACATCTGTTATCTGTTGGTACTCTGGAGGAGACACCATTTTTCTTTTGTCTTTGGTCCAAGAGTTATTTAGAAGTTTGTCTTTAACTTTCCAGGTATATGAGTTTCTTTTTAAGTTATTGTTTTAAAATAATTTCTAATTTAACCCATATGTATTCAGAAAACATGTTCTATATTATAATGGTTATTTGACATTTGTTGAGACTTGTGGTCAATTTTTATTTTATTCCATATATACTTGAATAGAATAAGTATTTTCTGTATCTTTACTACTTTTGCCTGAGAGAAGAGGGTTATATAATTGCATATGTCAAATTTCTTCTTTAAACATTAATTTTTTATACACCCTTGAGACAATATTATTGGGTATATACAGGTTTGGAATTATTTTATGTTTCTGGTTATTTGTTCTTTTTGCCATTATATAGTGACTCTCTTTATCTCTGATGATATATTTTGCTTTAAAATTTATCTTGTCTGAAATTAATACAGCTACTCCAGCTTTCATTTTCTTAATACTACCTCTGTATATCGTTTTTATTTTCTCCTTCAGTCTTTATCCTTACATTTTTGTTATGTCTTGTGTCAACAGTTGAATTTTTAAAAGCTGTCTAATATAGTTATCTGTTTTTTAAACAAAAGAAATATTGTCATTTACAATCAAAGTATAGTACATTTGTCTAGGATTCAAGGAATTGGGATTCTAGGCTCTACCCTATTGCTTTGTAACCTTAAACAACTCTCTCAAATTCTGAATCTCAGAAGAGTCATGATAAAATGCTAATGTTGAATCAGATTATGTTGACTATCTCTTCTAGCTCATTTACTGTCATTCCATTAAAGTACAGTAACATGTTACAGATTGTTTTAAAACTAGACCTAAAATTAAAAACAAATCCTAGTGTAATTTGGTGAGATAATTCAAATAGTAACTGATGTTTAGCTTTGGGATATTTACCCTTTATTATTAAACATTTTTAATTTTTCAGAGTGCCTGGGTGACTTAGTTGAGCATCTGCCTTGGGTCATGGTCCTGGGGTCCTGGGATCGAGCTCCACCTCAGGCTTCCTGCTCAGCAGGGAGCCCGTTTCTCCCTCTCCTCCCTGCTTGTGCTCTCTCTCACTATCTTTGTTTCTTTCTCTCAAATAAATATTTTTAAAATTTTTTAAGTTTTTCATTATTCAAAATATAATATTTTTGTAGTTTATTTTCTGAGGATAGTCCATTAAAAATATTTTCTATGATTTGAAGAATGTATTTAAATATACTTTCTTGGGGCACCTGGGTGGCTCAGTCATTAAGTGTCTGCCTTCGGTTCAGGTCATGATCCCAGGGTCCTGGGATTGAGACCCCTGTCGGACTCCCTGCTCAGCTTTTCCCCTCCATCTGCCTCCACCGCCCCCCCCCGCACCCCGGGTCATTCTCTCTCTCACTCTCTCAAATAAATAAATAAAATCTTTTTTTAAAAAAGAAAAAATTTAAAGAAAAAAATGAAGGTTTATTTATTTGGGTGGGGGGAAGAAAGTGCAGGGAGGAGGGGCAGCGGGAGACAGAGTCTTTTTTTTTTTTTAAGATTTTATTTATTTATTTGTCAGAGAGAGAGCACAAGCAGAGGGAGGAGCAGGCAGAGCAGGCAGAGAGGTAGGCTCCCCTCCGAGCAGGGAGCCCCACGCAGGACTCAATCCCAGGACCCTGGGATTATGCCCTGAGCCAAAGGCAGACACCCAGCTGACTGAGCCACCCAGGTGTCCAAAGGAGACAGAGAGAGTCTGAAGCTGACTCCATGGTAAGCATGGCTTACCGGCTCCATCTCCTGAGCCTGAGATCATGACCTGAGCTGAAATCAAGAGTCAGATGCTTAACTGACTCACAGCCACCCAGGCACCCCATGGAGTGTGCCACTCTTGATCCCAGAGTTGTGAGTTCAAGTCCCACATTGGGTATAGAGATTACTTAAAAAAAAAAACAACACAACTTTAATAAAACAGTAAGTAAGGGCAACCCTGGCAGGACCCCTCTCACTCCTGAGAGCTTTTCCTGTACCCTCACTTAATAAAACTCTTATCACTTTACTCACTCTCAAAAAAAAAAAAAAATTAAAAAGTAATGAAGAGGTCACACTGTTTCTTGCCCTTGTTTTCCTCTGCTTTTTTGTACTTCTGTGTCAGTGTGAGCCAAACAGCTTCCCAAATCCATGACTAGTCCTTAGGAGTCCCCAACACACCCAGAGAATTGCAGCAACCTGGAGGTGCTAGGACCAATCTTTGTCATTTAGTTGACAATACTCTTGATCAGGAGTCCATTTTCTGATATCATATCAATCATATCTTCAATCATAAGATATCAGTCATATCTTTCTGAAGCTATTACCTTATAGTTACCTTGACTTGACTTGGTTATTTCTTAATTCACCCCAGCTGCACATTTACACACTCTGAGGATGGGTTAGTTCTCCAGATGACTCCTCTCATGTTTTACTGGGCCATTTTCTTATGTAGATGCAAAATATATGTGGTTGGGAGGTTAGAACCTAAATTAAGTCTCCTTAATTTTATTCTCATAAATAAAGGGAGGGATCATCAATTTTGAGTGCACCCCTATAATTGTTTTAAAAATATAAGTAATGGGGGCGCCTGGGTGGCTCAGTGGGTTAAGCCTCTGCCTTCGGCTCAGGTCATGATCTCAGGGTCCTGGGATCGAGTCCCGCATCCGGCTCTCTGCTCAGCGGAGAGCCTGCTTCCTCCTCTATCTCTCTCTTTGCCTGCCTCTCTGCCTACTTGTGATCTCTCTCTGTGAAATAAATAAAATCTTTTAAAAAAATGTAACTAATGTACTAATATTATCTTTGTTTACAAATAAAAGATGGGGCAACTGGATGGCTCTGTGGGTTGAGCCTCCCATTCTTGATTTCTGCTCTCAGGTCAAGACCTCAGGGTCATGAGATCCAGCCACACTCTCAGCTCTCAGCGAGTTTGCCTGCCCCTCTCCTTCTGCCCTCCCCCAACTCACCTGCAAACGCTCTCTCTAAAATAAATAAAATCTTTTTAAAAATAAAGGATAAAAAACACTCAAAGTCCCCCTTTTCCATCCCCTTTATTGCTTCCCTCTCTAGGGGTCATCAGTATCCTTTTGAGTACAACTTTCCAGTGCCCGCTCTCTCTCTCTATATATATATGTATATATATATACACACACTGTATATACAAAAACACTTTTTATTTTTACCTAAATGACACCTCCTCGTTTTATAGGTGAGGAAACGAAGTGAGACCTTGAAGGGAGACATGGGTTGACAAATTTATTGAAAGGAAAGTGGACTGGACAATCATTTGTTTAAATCTGCTATATGTCAGACTCTGCACCCAGTGCTTTATTGGCACGAAGTGTTCTGGTATCTTACTTTGTTGGGTGGGTCGTCGCACTAGGTTAGCTAGGCAATTAGTTTAGGGGTTGGGGAGCAGGTGCGAAAGACGCTTCAGTGCGATGAGTGTAGGTTTTGTATTTTGATAGGAGCTGCAGAAAACCTAGCAGAGGACCATGGAGCTGCAAAAAAAAAGAAGGAAAAACTGTCATCGGCAGTTGGGTCTGTCAATAAAACTTGTGAAGTTGAAACGCAAAGAACCTGCTACCTGCCGAGCCCGAAGTTGATTGCGGAAACCAAGAACAGATACCGCGCCTGTGAGACTGGCCTTGGAGCTTGAATAGGAAGGAACCAGAGGTTGTAAAAGATGCTGCCGGGAGGCAGCAACCGGGCAGCCAACCAACCGGGAAAGCAGAGCGCGCTCCCGGACGGGTCTAGAAGTGCGCCTGCGCCGATCGCCTCGAGGGGGGCGGGGCGGGAGGGGGAGGAGCTTGGGGGCGGTCAATGAGCATGCGCAAACCGCGCGGCGAGGTGGGGGAGGGCGATCCGTGTGTGTCTGTGTTGTTGTTCGGCGGCAGCGGCGGCGGCGGTAAGATGGCTGCCCACGGGGGCTCCGCGGCGTCCTCGGCGCTGAAGGGGTTAATTCAGCAGTTCACCGCCATCACCGGTAAGAGACGCGGTTACCGGAAGGTGGAGAGTGGGGTCTGGAGCGGACGGCCGTTCCGCCCCGAGCTTCCCCTTACCTTCATGCATTTCTCCCTCGGGCTTTACCCACAGCTCCCGTCCTCCCTTCTGAGGAAGAGGCGACGACGGCGTCGGGTCTCCGGGTTCAGGCGGGAGACAGCCCCCCCGCGCACCCCATACCTCGTTCTCGGCCTCCTCACAGTGTGGAGGGAGACACCCCCACTACCTCCAACGCCCCCCTTGTCAGTCGAGACCCGGGGAATGGGCCGATCTCATCCGCCCCCGCCGGCCCGGGGACCTGGGGGCGGGAGAGGTGGGGGGCCGCACCCGGGCCACCGCCCTCCTCCTCCTTCATCACCTTCTCTTCTCTGTGCAGCTCTGGGGTGCAGTGCATCTCTCAACTCCTTTTTCCATTCTTCCTCGGCCAGGTCATTCTCCTCCAGTCCCTGGCCTGCCCTTCCCCTTTCTGGGCCCCTCAGAGCCATCGCCGTGGCCCTGGCGTGCTCGGGCCCTCCCGCCTTAACGGCGAGACTGGGGGATTCGGCAGTGCCTTTACCGATCCTGGGGGATAGGCCGCTAGAAGGGGGGTTGCTGAGGAGTACCTTTAAGACAGAGGTTTTAAGAGAAGAATGAGGGGGACCCCCCAACCTTAATAGGGAAGGCCTGGAGGAATCCTGGGTGGCGTTTCCCACCTCCCCATAATAAAATCATAAAGACTGGGACGATGGCGCCGGAGCCTCCTGCTGATTAAATAGGGATGGCGGCAGAAACTTCTTTGAGAGAAAGTCAGTTTTTGGGTGTCAGCATCCCCCAAATCCTCGGTTATTCTTTCCCTTTGGACCCCTGAAAAGGGCACACGGAGATGCTCTTACCGCCTGGAGGAAAGGCCCTAAGCCATTCTATGAATTCTCTATGCCTTGTTTCTCTCTGATGGTGCTGAACTTTTTTTGCATGAGTTATTAGAGGGCGGAGCAAATGATGAAGTTCTCTGTGGAGTGATTTGAGAGAAAAGTACTCCATGTGCCTGAGTGTAATTTTGCCGTTCTAGTTTGTCATTTTGGAAGGAGGTTAGAATGTTAGTTCCCTCTCTGAGTAGATCTATACTTAATCTCGTTATTTTTTAGGTGCAGAGAATGTTTCTACTGTTAATGTACCTAGAATTTGACATGTAAGATCTGATTAAGTAAAATTTTATATTGTTCTAACCAGACAGTTGTATGCGCGTTGTTTTATAATTTAAAGCTAGTTTTATCTTTTGCTCTGCGATGACAACTAGACGTTTGATGCCTTATCTAGCTGCTGGGCATGAAACATCACGTCAAAATTGGCAAAGTAAAATTGCAGTAAAATTGGGATGAGGAATGGAATGATCAACTTTTCTTAATATATTAAAATTTTTGTGATTGGACTGTTAAGGATGTAATGCATTTCCCAGTGTCTAAGCAGATTGCTGTTATTGGGAAAATTAGAAAATTATTGTGTATATAAGTTAATATTGGCAGCATTACCTTTTTATAGAAAAATCTTTGTAGTGAATCAGATATAGAAGGAATTATTATTAATCTTTAGATTTTTCTAGAGTTGGTTTAAGATATCACCTATTTAATTTCAGTTTTTTATGTTAATTACCTCCACTTCAGGATCTCAGACCGTTTTTATGTTAACGACCACCCCTTCAGGAACTCAGAACCTCACATTATTTTTTCTAACTCAGCGTTTTTGTTAGATATGGACAAAACCCAAAGTGTGAGATAAAACATCTCACTTGCTTTAAATTCTGTTTCTGTCTGCTAACTTACATGGCTTGTTTCCTGGCCACAGGCCTTTCTGTTCCTGAATCAGGTTGGAGACCCTTAGTAGACAGTGGTATCTGGAAGTCTGTAAAAGGGAAAATACCTTAGATGGTTCTTAATGTATTATGAATTTCTACTAATAATTCTGGGGATTCTGGGGCTCCTGGCAGGCTCAGTCAGAAGAGCATGCGACCCTTGAGCTCAGGGTCATGAGTTCGAGTCCCATATTGGGTGTAGAGATTACTTAAATAAAAAAAACTTTAAAAAAATAATAAATTCAGAGATTTTTTTTTTTAACAAGATAGTGATTGTTAGAAACACATGATTAACTCCTTTAGTCTTTTTCACATATTTTAAAAAAGAAAGTTTGGGGTTCTGTCCACATGTTTTAAATTGTAGTTTTTATGATAAAAGGGCATTTGATATTTATTCATTGTTGAATGAATTAAATTGACCTTAAGAGCTTTTGCTGTGATTTCAAAAATATTTTACTTATCTGGAAGCTCAACATTATGGTGAAAGCAATGCATTTTAAAAAATGTGAGCCTTACCTTTTCTGTGGCATTTAAAAATAGAACAGAAAACTGAAAGAATTTTAAGTCTTATTTCTCATTAAATAGAACAGATCTCTCTATATGATGTGTGAGTATTAAGTAATGATGGATTTTTTTTCTTATTTTTACTTGAGTATAGTTAACACAATATTGTATTAGCTTTAGGTGTAATGACTGATTTTTTTAAATTTTATTTTTATTTATATAAAGATTTTTATTTTTTGAGAGAGAGCATACATGTACAAACACGAGCAGGGAGGAGGGTCAGAGGGAGAGGGAGAATCAGACTTCCCGGGGCAGGGCTCCATCCCAGGACCCTGAGATATGAGTGGAGCCAAAGCAGACACTTAATGGACTGAGCCACCCAGGCGCCCCTATTTTTATTTATTTATTTTTAAGTAGGCTCCATGCCCAATGTGGGGCTTGAACTTGCAACCCTGAGATTAAAAGTCATATGCTCTACTGACTGAGGCAGCCAGGCACCCTGACTCTGATTAAAAAAAAAACTTAAATCACACACGCACAAAAATCATAACATGAAATGATTTTGAAAAAAGTAAAAACTAATCTTTCATAACAGCAATATTTTTTTTTTAAAGATTTTATTTATTTGACAGAGAGAGCATAAGCAGGGGGAGTGACAGGCAGAAGGAGAGGGAGAAGCAGACTCCCTGCCAAGCAGGGAGCCTGATGCCGGCTCCATCCCAGGACCCCGGATCATGACCTGAGCTGAAGGCAGAAGCCCACCTAACTGAACCACCCAGGTGCCCCTCACAACAGCAATATTATTTATTTTACATATTATCTTCCAATTCTTGTTTGCATACTTTTATTTTTATTTTTTAAAGATTTTATTTATTTGTCAGAGAGAGATTGAACACAAGCTGGGGGAGTAGCAGGCAGAGGGAGAAGCAGGCTCCTTGCTGAGTAAGGAGCCTGGTGTGGGACTCAATCCTGGATCCTGGGATTGTGACCTGAGCTGAAGGCAGATGCTTAACCCATTGAACCACTGAGACATCCATACTTACTTTTATTTTTATTATTATTTTTTCCTAGTTTTACATTGTGGATCATAGTATACATAATTTAGAATTCAAAGATTTTCAGTTAATATTACATCATGAATATTTTTTCTGTGATCAAACTCTGATAAGCAAGTAGCCAAGAGAAGTTAGTCTTTGTAATATTCAGATTGAGAAACTGTATTCCTTTACGATTGATATTAGAGTCATTTGAAGTTGTATAGAAAACCAGTCCTGTTACTTTATAGTTTACTATATTTTATGGTATTACTCAGTTTGATCTCCCTTGATATTCATCATACTTGGGTTTGAATGACTGTTGACTGCTTTCAAAAGCCCTATCAGATTTTTTTAAGATTTTATTTATTTATTTGTCAGAGAGAGAGAGTGCACACAAGCAGGGGAGCAACAGGCAGAGCAGGCAAAGGGAGAAGCAGGCTCCCCACTGAGCCTGATGTGGAGTACCAATAAATTCAGCATTGATAGACTATTGTGTACCTGGTATGATTCAGGTCCTGGGAATACTACTATGGGCAAGACAAGGTGTCCGTTAAGACAAGGTGCTTTAACCAAAAAGCATAAAGGTTAATGGGAATACAGACACATAAATAGGCATTATAATACAATGGGAGAATGGTAGGTAGCTATTATGGGAGCACAGAAGATGGAGGTAAAGAAAGGTTTCCCAAAAGAAATAATTTCTTAGCTAAAACTTAAAGGAGATGACTAATGAACTTAAATAAAAGAAAGAAAGAAAAAAGAGGAGAGGTGTTTCTGACAGAAGGAACATGTACAAAGGTCTGGAGTAGAGAGGGACAGATATACACACAGGGACAGATATACACACGTATAGAGAAAAGAAAGAAGAGACAGTAGATTTGGGGCGTCGATGATCATTCCGAATGAATAGGGCATAGCTAATGGGAGACGCAGTAAATTAAGCTGAAGATGTAAGTGGGTGGGTGCCAGATTAGGAAGGGCTTTGTAACCCATGTTAAATCTTGGCTTTATTCTGAGTGTAGTGTGGAGTCAATGAAGAATTTAACTGGGGGAGTAACATAACCAGATTTAGATTTTTTAGAAAGAGCTGCTTAGCTATAGTGGAAAACAGGTAGGTATCAAGATCAGTAGAAGGTGGGGCACCTGGGTGGCTCAGTGGGTTAAAGCCTCTGCCTTCAGCTCGGGTCATGATCCCAGCGTCCTGGGATTGAGCCCCGCATCGGGCTCTCTGCTCGGCGGGGAGCCTGCTTCCCCCTTTCTCTGTCTCTGCCTGCCTCTCTGCCCACTTGTGATCTGTCAGATAAATAAATAAAATCTTTAAAAAAAAGATCTACTGATCTTTTCTTTTTTTTAAAGATTTTATTTATTTGTCAGAGAGAGAGAGT